TGTCCCCAGATGTTTGCAGGCCACCAAATTCTCATCTGGGGCATTTCTAAATGTCACCAGGTGTTTGCAGGCCACCAAATTCTCATCTGGGGCATTTCTAGATGTCACCAGATCTTTACAGGCCACTAAATTTTTCTCATCTGGGGCATTTTTAGACATCTCCAGGTGTTTGTAGGCCACCAAATTCTTCTCCGTGGCCTCAAAGCTTCTTTTCCAGTTCAATTCATAGTGGAGCAAGCCCAGCAAGAATTGCCACAGGATTTCATGGATGAGGCTTCCTCCCATGATGAAATTGTTTCCCGGGGAAAAGCCATGTTAGGAACCAACATGGCAAATCCAAAGCTAACTGGGAATTGGTCTCCTTTGCAGCCCCTGCAACTCCAAGGACTTTGGAGGGGGCCAGTTGAGCTGAGGAAGGGCAGAGGCCTGGTGGAGGACACGGTAGCAGGGGTGTCTGCCAGAGTGGAGACACTTCCTTCCCTATTTGGCATTTGAGCAGTGGAATTTTCATCCCGGTTTGGGATGGGAGGCCAAAACGTGGCTGGGTTTGAAATCCAGCAGCGTTTTTTTTTTTTTGGCCGAGTTTTAGGGCCAGATGGGAAATGGTTTGTCCAGGAGCTACCAGGTGGGTTGGCAGGGGAGGGGGCTGGGAGTGGTGGTGGCTGGTCCCAGATGTGGGGATGGCAGGGCCGAAAATTGGACTGAAATCCGTTCACCTGGAACGACGTGATTTATCCCAACGGCATTTTCCAATGGACAACATCCTGAAGGACAACATCCTTCCAGAGAACCCCCAGGGAAGCCCTCAGAAGATCAGTGTGGTCTCTCCTGGGTCTCTCTCTAACCTCCCTGGCTCTCCCCCAGGTTTGCAAGGACCGTCGGTGCCAGAACGCCTCCCTTTTTGAGCTGGAAAAGTGCGTGTCCCGGTGCAACGGCCACGGGGTGAGTTATGACCCAAGACCTCCAGGGAAATCCTGGGATGAGGAGCAGATTTTTAAGCCAAACCAAGTGTCTCCCCCCAGGGATGAACCCTCTGGATTTCTGCCTTTCCTATCTGTCCCAAACACCAGCTCCAGGTGAGGCTGAGCTGGGATCTTTGCTCACCCGTGTCCGAGTGAGAGGAAGGAAATAATTCCTGATGTAAGAACCATCTGCACAGTTTGGATCAGGGTCCAGTTTGAACTCAAGAGTGTTTAGAGCTCGGAGCAGGTGCCTGTTCCCTCAGAGAGAAAAACAAGGGTTAGAAAGACAACTGGGACTACAAAAAACCAAGGAAGCACAAAGAGACATTGTTGTCCAAAGCTCAAAGGGTTGCAAGGGTCGGAGCTCTGTGGAATGTGGGGCTTCGTGAGATGAGGCAACAGCAGACTGTGGGAGATCTGCTGGATTGTGTGGAGGGATGTGATTGTGAAACACCCACATTGACCCTTTTGTTCTGCTCAGAGAGCTGGGGGGGTTCACCTGGAGAAGAGAAGGTCCAGGGAGAGCTGAGAGCCCTTGCAGGGCCTAAAGGGGCTCCAGGAGAGCTGGAGAGGGACTGGGGACAAGGGATGGAGGGACAGGACACAGGGAATGGCTTCCCAGTGCCAGAGGGCAGGGATAGATGGGATATTGGGAAGGAATTCCTGGCTGTGAGGGTGGGGAGGAGGCCCTGTCCCAGGTTGGGCAGAGAAGCTGTGGCTGCCCCTGGATTCCTGGAAGTGTCCAAGGCCAGGTTGGAGCAACCTGGTCTAGTGGAAGGTGTCCCTGCCCATGGCAGGGGGTGGAACTCCATCATCTTTGAGGTCCCTTCCAACCCGTGATTCCCTGATGTTCAAGGGGTGAACATCAGCAGGGCTTCAAGCTCCTTCAGCCCGAATTCCTGTCACCCACCACCTACTCTTGTCCCCACCCCACAGGCCACCACTTCCACACCTTCCCTGGTGGCCTCCAACCCTCCTCCTCTCCCTGCAGGTCTGCAACAGCAACAAGAACTGTCACTGTGACGCCGGCTGGGCTCCCCCCTACTGCCAGGAGCCGGGGCTGGGGGGCAGCCTGGACAGCGGCCCCGTGCAGCCCAACAGTGAGTCCCGGCTTCTCCGCTGCTCCCGGGGCTGGAATGATGTCAGGAGAGGGGGAAATGGGGGGGATAGAGCTGCTGGCAGCCCTGCTCCCCGAGGGGCTGGGTTGGGTCTGTCCAGGCAGCCCCACAGTCCGTGCTGGGTGGTCTTGGTGGCCTCGGTTGCTCGGTGGCCACCCATTGCCATGAGAGGCTGCTGGATGGTCCTGCTCCCTTTCCGGAGGTGGGATCAGCAGTGATGTGCCTAGTTTGGGGTGATGGGTGGATGGGATCAGTGTTCCCCAGCATCTCCCAGCCCCTCACTCTCCTCTGTGCTTTCCCTGCCAGACCACGAGGCCATTTTCATCGCCCTCCTCGTCGTCTTCCTCTTCCTC